GATCAGGCAACATGGGGCGAGCCCAGAGCCTAGGCTACGGCAGAGCGCCGGGGGGAGGAGGGCTATGGGGTTTTATAATAATCAGTGGAGATATACCGATCTCCTAGAACTGGAAGGGACCTTGAAAGGTCATCGAGTCCAGTCCCCTGCCCTCACGGCAGGACCAAGCGCCGTCCCTTGGGAATTAGGCCTGGATCCTGAGAGCTAGTTAGACTCCGAACTTCCACGGACGTCTGATGTGCAGGGCCCAGCCCTTGGGGTGTACAGCCTGGGGCCTGGAGCCCAGAGTGTGGGGTCTAGAGATGAGCAGTGACTCCTGGGTCCGTCTTGCCCCTGGGGTATCAGCGATGCCTGTGTGAGGCAGGTGTCCCGTCGCTCCCAACGGAGATGGGCCGGGCACTGTTTTACACACTAGAAACGGTGGCTCAAGACAAGGGAGGGCTCAGGGCAGAGCCTGTGTGTGTGTGTGTGGGGGGGGGGGCATTAAAAACCCATCATCCCTTTCCCTCCCTCCGGATTCTACCTAGTGAGGGCCACTCCCTGGGGCCCCCCAGGTGACGGTGGACAGCACACGCTGCCACAGAACAGCTGCCACAGGCGCACCCACAGGGGTACCCATGATGGTGACTGTCTCAGCTGAACACCCGGGCCTCAGCTAGGGGCCTCCAGTGCGAAAAGCAGGAGCTAAAGAGCGGGGGCTGCAGAGCCGGGGCAGTAACACCTCCCTCCGCCTGTAGGTCAGCCCAGCACGGATTCTGCGCTGACACAGTTCTGTACACACCCCTGCCAACAATACAAGGCTCTAAAACACCCGCACGCGTTCCCAGAGAGAGACACCCAGAGAGCCCTGGGCTAAAAGACCTCCAAGAACCCCACCTCCCATCAGGCCCCAACCCCACACACACACACACACACACACACGGACACACACACACACACACACGGACACGGACACACGGACACAGGGAGGAGCAGCCGTACAGAGGTAGGCACAAGACTCACAAATGCACAGACGCACGCTAAGCACACACACGCAATCACAGGCCACATGCCCTGCTTCCCCGGCACCCGGGCATTTACCCCAAAGAGGCGTAACACATGACGCTTTGTGCCTATTTTGCACAGGTGCGAACACACCGCGCTGCCGAGGCCACAGTGGCTTCGGCGTGTTTCCTACGGGGGTGCCTCCACACCGACACACGGGCGTGAGTTTGCGCTGGCACGTGGCTAAAAGCGCCAAAGAGCCGTGGCGACGCCTGACTCACACAACCACACACTCATGCTACACACACCCGCCCCCAGAGGGAAACACGCACACAAAGCCGGCGCCCCCAGCTCCGTGGCGACACACTCCGGTTCCAGAGTCGGGCACGTGCACGGGCACATAAAGAGCTGGGGAAGAAAAGCAGGTGGCAAAAGCGGGCGGAAAAAGGAGAATAAAGGGAAACTCCAGAGACAATGCCCCCCCC